AAACAAAACCAGAGAGAGAGAGCCAGTGAATAGTCACAGAAGTGAAAAGTCTGAATGCTAATAAAATTAATCTTGAGAGAATTCCTAGAAAAAGTAGGTTTTTAACAGAGTGAAGATAATTTCGTAGAAGCAGAGGAAGTCCCTGGCAAGTGCAGGTGTTCAGAAACCAGAAGTATTTGTAGGGACTTGATGAGAATATATATATATACACATAGTTGGTAGAGCATTCACCAGCGTTTTCACAGCATCAACTCCTTTGTGCCTACCCTCTGCCCTGCCCCACCCGTCTTGGCCCACACTGGCCCCACTGTCACCAAAGGAGAAAGCAGGTAGCCTTGTTCTGTTCCTTTCAGTGTCCTGTCACTCTCCTATTGCAGTGGTCTTCAAAGTGTGGTCCCAGAACCAGCAGCTTTAGCATCACTAGGGAACTTGTTAAAATGTGACTTCTTAAGTCTCACCCTAGACCTGCTGCATCAAAATCTCTGGAAGTACTCCCCCTTCATCTGTGTTTTAATAAGCCCTCCAGGTGATTACGATGCACACTACAGTTAGAACTGCTGTCCCAGGGATTCAGTTCTCAAACCTGGAAGTAGAATTGCTGAGTGGGTTTGTACATTTTTAAGCCTTGCTACATATACCAGATTAACCTCCTCAGTGCCGTGCCAGTTTACAGCCCAGTGGCAGTACAAGTCAGTTTCTTATATCCTGACCAACACTAGAATCTGCTTTTTTAAAAAAAAATATATTAGTAATGCTGAATTTCTGCATTGTTTTGTCTTTTTGGCACATCTTTCTGGTGGCCTAATCTTTTTTCTCATTTATTTATAATTTTTGTTTATGTTTCTGTCTTTAGTAAATGAAAGTGTTCTCCACCCAAAAGTATAAATATAATTCACCTTTTTTTTCAATCTGGTATTTATTTTTCTATTTAGCTTGAAGTAGGGATCTACTTTTTTCCTAAATAATTAACAGGTTATCCCAGAACCATTTATTAAAACCGTCCTCTCACCAAGTGTTTCAAATATCACATATATCATAATATATTCTGGTGGATGGGTGTGTGTGTGTGTGTGTGTGTGTTTAACTGTTTCTGAGTCTTTTTCTTTTTTTCCATTTTCTTATCTGAAAGCCCCTTAGTTCATTGTAATTCCAAGGACTGACTCACTGCCTGTAATACAGTGGGTGCTAGTGGTATTTAACTGACAGATTATCTATTTCTTCCTCCACTATTGCTAATTTTAAAATTATTGTAGCTTTACAATAAGTATGTTATTTTTATGTATTTTACTTTTTTGTGTTTTCCTTGGTCAGTATAAAAAATTCTTCAAGATGAGCACCAGAAGTATTTTAAATACAAAAAAAGCCACTAATATTTTGACTAAAACATTATTAAATATTGTATAACCTACCGGGATGAATGGTTACCTTTACATTGTTTTACTGTCCAAAACGTATTACTTCTCCATTGTATTAAATTTATTACTTGTTTGTTTTAGCCTTACTTGCTTCCCTTAATAGGTGTAATCATTTTCCAAGTAATTTTCTTGGGACTTCTAGGTTTTAAAATAACATTGTCTATAAATAATAATTTTGTCTCCTTTCCAGTATTTATTGCATTGGCGAGAATTGCCACTATTAAGTAACAGTGGAAAGAAAAAACCTGACCTTGATTTTTGCTTAATGAAAAGTAGGGCATTAAACTAGAAGGCCTGGACACAAGACTATGGGTGAACTATTATGACAGTGATTCAGGGTTATAAAGAGGTAGAATAAAAGGAGTAGCTTTGAGGATTTGTCTTTAATACCTTGAATAGCACGTGTCTGTATCATTTAGGCTTTCGTTTTTCAGGCAGATCTGTGCACTAGTTATTAAAAGCCTAAACTAACCTCCAGAGCCAGAGGTAAGTTCATAAATGGCGGGCACTACCTGTTCAAGCATCCCATCACAAGCAGTTCTCTGCATAACCCAGCTGTGTGACATGGAGTTTAGAATTTTATTTTGGCGTGGATTTCTGCCTTAAAGAATTATTGCCTTCCTGGGTGCATCATCTTTGAATTCAACATGTGAGGTGTTTCTAGATTTGAGAAATTATTGATCCTTTGGAACGAAGGGAACAAGTGGCACTTAGGTGATGGGAGTGAGGACAGAACAGAGCGCCGCAGCACCGTTCACATAGTGGGTAGTTCCAGGGTTTGCATCAGTGGGGTTTGTGTGACTGTCTCAGCCTGATTATAGCAAGCAGTTTACAAAGATCTTATTATACAACTAGGAAGAAACTGTGTTCATTATGATATGGAATGTAGAATGATTGAGAGTCACAGCTGTAGCACCACGGCTGTCACTAATGTTTCTATCCCTAACTGTTGTACAGATTTGCCTTACTTATATGTCATTTTTAAAAATCAGAGGCACAGTTCATTTGGTTGATTAAGTTATGAATAGTTTTTTTTTAACATTTGGGGAAAAAAGTTGTGAGCAGCCTCCTAAAGTAGAAAAGAGTAATAAGGTTATTTGGTCTTGTAACTTTATTTTTAATATGATTGTTCTACCTTAGTGCAAAGTTCTGTTCTGTGCAAATTTCATAAATCAGATGTGTTACACAGCCAAGTTTTTATTAGTCATTATATGATTTTCCAAGCACAATTCATCTTTTTGCTGTAGTTTTACTGTTTCTCTCCTGGTTTCAGTTTGTTGATTTCTTGCTTTCCCTATCTGCCTGGCTTTGTGTTACTTGCTTATATACTGTGAATTATAAATGTGAAAACTAGTACATTATTATGCCTGTGATTCAGGAGGAAAGATAGACTGAGTACAAAATTTTGATCAGTTGTGTATCATCTGAATGGGATGACACGCCTTGGGAAACAGTGTCCTCTAACAAGATATATAGATACAAATGGTTGTGTTATTTGCTGAATTGTCAAATATCTAATATTACCCTAGGTTTTATTTTTGATCAGAAATCTTCTTTTTTAAAAAAATTTTTTTCAAGACTCCATTCCTCTAACTCTGACCCAGTACAGAGATGTGAAGAGTTTGAAGGAAGGATTGTTCCAACGTAACAGGAGACCTTCAATATTACCAGCAGCCAAAGAAGGAGAGGGAAAATTAAAATTGTTGAGATAAGACGGTGGTGACAGAGGTCAGCAAGGATGTAGGAAACCAAAGATGAATATGTCAAATGATTAGATTATGAGACATAAACAACTCTTTGTACATTGGTGACTTGGGTGGTAGATACTGTGTACATGATGCTGAGTGAACAGTGGCTTGACCATCTGCCAGTCACAGAACTAGCAGCTTCTTCAGTGCCTCTGTCTCCCTCACCCCTAACATCCTTTAAGTCACCAACTGCAGTTGATCCTGCATCTGAATCACGTTATAAATCTCTCCTCCTTCTCGCTTCCATTACTGCTCTACTTCAAGACCTTATCATCTTTGCTTCCTGAGTGACCTCTCTTCTCAAAAGCTTAGACTCTACACAGCCATCAGGATTATTGGTCTGAAGCACAGATGTGATAATGTCACTCTCTGGGTAAAAAACATACAGTGATTTCTCGTTATAGTCAACAGTCCAGACTCTTTAGTGTGGCATTCACGACTTTTTAGAATCAGGTCTCATCCTACTGGGTGTGAGCTGATCAGTCACTTTTCCCCTCCACGTGCGAACCGTACTGCCTACTCAGCGTTTGCTAACACCTCCTAGAGAGAGGTGCCCACGCCACCATGTTTTTGTCTAAGCTGTTTCTTTCTCCTCTCCTGGGGAGAAGTCCTATAAGGTCCAACGAGAGTATACCTTCTTTTTGTAAAGTTTTCCTCATTCTCTTCCTTTTTACCTCCAGCTGAATGAACGCTTACCTTTCCTGCTTCCAAAGTGCTTTCTTTGTAACCCCTGTTGCATAACCCCTGTTGAAGTTCTTTTCACCTCGTGTTGTGGATTGTCTCTGACCGTAGGGTGACTCCTTAAGGATGGTAGTTTGTCGTCAGAGCTATCACTTATTTAGTAGAATGCCTAGCACATAGGAAGTGCTCTGTGCATCACCTCATTTGATCTTCACAACCCTGTGAGATTGCTGTTAGCACAGCATTCCCATATTACAAGTAAACTGAGCTGAGAAGGCCTCACAGCTGGTACAGAGCAAAACTCGAACCCCAGCCTAGATCCACCTAACTCCTAAAGTCTGTTCTCTTAACTGTTCTGCTGTGTTTCTTCCCTGCTCCAGCCCATATATCCTCTGTCCCTGCTCTCCGGCAGGTGCTCTGTACGTGCTTACTGACTGAAGGAGTGATACAAACTCCAGTTCCCACAGGAGGCTGACAGTGTGATTTCCATTGAAAGGAAGAGTGAAAGATACCAGTGTACCATTTGTGAAAATAAAATGTTTAAAAGAATCTTCAAAATACAAACATACACAAAGCAATTCAATATATTGTTGATTGGGTATCAGAAATTTTAAACTTAGGGAAAAAAAGCTCCAGTTTCTAAATAATGCTCGCTTTTGTAACACAGGCCACAGCATAGTGCTGCACAACTATAGGGTGTCTTGTACTGATTTCTGGGAAACTGCTGCCCCCTTACTTCTGTCTTTATTATGAATGTTCTCAGAAGTCAAATAATCTAATTGAACTTTTACTACATAATACATTGGAAAGGTAGCCATAATGTGTGTAAAGTCTTTGAGGAGATGGAGTACAGTAAATACAGGATAATTGGGGTCAGTCAGCACAGTGTGTTGCAAAAAAAAGTGTGTGTTTTTTAATTCATCACAAATTGAAAATGTGCTATTAGTGCTTGTATAAATGAGTACAAAGGGTTTTGGGGAGTTAAGTGTCAAATAGTAACTTTCATAACATTTAACCCTTAAAAATCTTGAGAGTGAATGTTAGTAAGTAATAGGGATTTTAGTTCATCTTTTTTGTCATCTGATTTTTCTTATAAATTCAGTAAAATCTGATGTAGATTCAACTTTTTAACTTTTCTTCTCTTTTATTTCTCTAGTGTTGTTAATAACAATACTTGTAGTGGAAGGGATTGCTGTGGCCCAAAAGACCCCAGGTAAAGTACTTAAGGTGCTAATTTACTGCATGTTCAGGACAGTGGGATGGCGTGTTAGAAAGGACTGCAACTTTTGAGTACTATTTCCATAATCCCTCTGGGGGTTCCAGTGACCTCAGGCTTTCTGTCCACCTGTCAGCCTCGATTCATTCGGGTTCAGCTGCAGTTAACTAGAGTAAATTGTCAGTGTAAAGTCTTACCCTGACACAGTTTTTAAATTGGCATAACTAATGACTCCTAGCACACTATGGATTAGGTCCAAAAATTAAATGAGATTCATGCTTTATCACTAAGCAAAAAAAAAAAAACAAAAAAAACCCTTTTCCAATGTAGACAAATGAAACATCTCCATCAGTATCTTGTTCAGAGCCCTACGGACCTGTTCCAGTTGTCCTTGCTTATGAAAGAGGATTAACTAGTGTGATTTATGAACCAGATTTTCATGTCAGAATTTAGTAGATTTCCTAAATAACCTGATTTATTTTTATTTTCATCAAAGTTATACATACAGATGACAAAAATCAAAGCATTCTTAAAAGTTAATTAAGAAAAGTCTGTCCCCTACCCCCCTTTTCCATGGAGATAACCACTCTTAGCTGGCTCCTTTGGTATTAAATAACATACTGTCCTGTTACTTCTTAGTTATTTCAGGTTCAGGTATTAGATAATGTTTTTCCCACCGTGAAAGATGAGAATTCACGCAAGTGTTCTTTTAACCTTCTGCCTGTAGCACCCACGTCAGTATAGTAACACCGTAATTCTGGTTATGTCCGCTCAGGATTTACACTGACTCAACCATTGCGCTTTTTCAGTATGAAACTTTTGTCTCTGGGTTTAGGAAATTTTTCTTTCTTTTTTTTCTTGTTTAATTTTTTAAAATTCCCTTTTGTCCATTCTCTCTCTTCTGTCTTTAAGGAATGTCTATTGTTTGGTTACTTTTTTCTTTTAATCTTTCTGTTTTCCATTTCTCTTTTTATTTTGTCTTCTCAGTAGTCTTTGTTGAGACTTCCTCAGCTTTATCCTCTAAACCAAGAATTGGAAAACATTTTCTGTGAGGGCCAGACAGTAAGTGTGTAAGACCCTGCAGGCCCTTAGCCTCAGGAGCAGCTCTCCCTGCTGTGGGGCGACAGCAGCCGTGGGCAGTCCCCACGTGAGTGGACGTGAGCGTGTTCCGGGAGACTTTATGTGCAGTAGCAGGCAGCAGGCCATACTTCGTGGACTTCTGCACTAAACTTCTTATTTTTTTCATTTCTTCTATTTTTAGAGACTTTGTTTTCTGAATATTCTCTTCCTAGAGTATGCCTTGTTCTTGTTTTACGGATCTACAGCTGGCCCTTGAGCAATGCAGGGACTAGGGGTGCCGACCCGCAGGTAGTAGGAAACCCGCCTGTGACTTGACAGTCCCTCCTCACGGTTCCGCATCCTCAGGTTCAAGCAGCTGCAGACCCTGTAACGCAGAAGTGGACCCTTGCAGTTCAGACCGTGTTGTTCAAGGATCAACAAACAGTATTTTCTTTTTCTCTGAGGCAATAAAATGATAGTTTTGTTTAGTTTTTTTGAAAAATAGTCCATAATCTTTGTCTCCTCAGAGTTGCTTTCTTCTGTTTATTAATCTGTTTTCCACGTTAGAGGCTTTCCTCCTGTGCCTGGTGCTCCTGGAACGTGTGCTTGTACCTTTGAGAGGCGTGCTCACACCTACTCGTTAGCTGTCTGCACGTATAGACGGCCTGTTTACTGAGGCCCTGACCATTGAGTGACCTGACATTGGGGAACCCCTGAGTTCACATCCTTGAGTCTTTTTCTTTGGGCTAATTAGATTCCCCGGAAAAGATTAAGATTCCGTTTCCTGCTCAGAGGGTCTTCATCTGACCAAGCGTCCTTTGGGGAGCGGGGCGGGGGCAGAGACTGGAAGTGTCACTCGGCATGTTAACATTAACATTCGTCTCGTCTCCCTGATTGCAGGTTGGTATTTTCACCCACAGCTGTGCCTGGTGTCCCTTAGTCCGATTGCCCTGAGTTACCTTCTCCAAAGAAAGAATTTCATTTTCTGATGCAGTGATAGAGCAGCAGCTATACCTAGATTTGTGGAGTAGAGGAGGGTACTGGAAATCAGACTGATTCTAAGTAGACATTTAACTAAGCCTCATATTTTTACAAAGCCCAGTTACCCCACCTCCTGCCCCACCTGCAGAGATACGCAGTACTGCCAGTTGTTACTGTTACACCCACCTCTTTGCAGTTGTGGGTTTATACCCTTAAAAAATTATTTACTGTTGTTTAAGTGAACTTTGAAGAGGGAAAGAGCTAAATGCATGCATTCAGTCTTCAACCTTTAAATCAAATTCCTCTGTCATTTTTGAATCTTGTTTGACTTTGTTTTAGACTAAATACAAAGGTACCACTCCAGAGGTAAACTCCTGGGATCCTCTCATTTTTATGTCAGAACTGAATTTTGTAGAGTTTTACTGATTTGTCAGATTCTCCCACATGGTTTTGCCCTTGTAAAATCTAAGCACTTTATTTCCCTGCTCTCTTACATGGCACACTTGTCCTGTAGCAGCATATTCACAGCACACAGTCTTACCTTTCTTTCACTTCTGTTTTCAGTATGTTCTAAATTTGGCAGTGGTTCTTAAAAATTATGTGTGTGTGTGTGTAACAGAGCGGGCAGTTATTTGGGGAAGTTGTAGGGGAAACAGAAGAATACTATTCTCTTTTCCTATGTTTAATGTTTTAATTTAAATGCTGTTTTTCCCTAAGATGGACAAAATATTGGAATCAAGCACATTCCTGCAACCCAGTGTGGCATTTGGGTTCGAACCAGCAATGGAGGTCATTTCGCTTCACCAAATTATCCTGACTCATATCCACCAAACAAGGAATGTATCTACATTTTGGAAGGTATATTTGACCAATTTCTATGTTTCATTGGATGAATTTTTACTTTATTGTAAAGCTAAACACACTGGTAAAATGCCCTATTTAAACCAATTTGGGCAAAATTTAAATATGTATTTTAATTACATTCTAGTCATTGTAAATATTTCTTAATACTGAACATATTAACAAAATAATAGTTGAAATTTTATAGGAATTTTGAATCCTCTAAAATACAATTCAACTGAATGCATCACTCTATATGAAAAATTTCTCTGATAAGAAACTTACACTTACTGGCATCTCTTATGAAATTTATGTCCATAGTTACATTATTTGTTTCTTTTATCTGTTTTTCTGTTTATCATGGTACATTGTATCTTATAAAATAAGCATTAGCTTCTCAACTGTAATTTTAATAAAGTACATTTAGTTAATTTAATAAATAGCATATGCCAAAGGGAAAGACTCCTATAGTTCTACAGAGTAGCATTATTATTATTAATATACAATTGAGTATTTATCATGAATTGTATATACAGCAGTTTGCATTATGATCCTCATCGATGAAACAGTAACAGAGCAGTTGTTGTGTTTTTCTCAGTTGTGTCAGGACATTTTTACTTTTTCTTGTTCGTGTTGCCCTGATTTGCTTACTTTTATTTTCTAGCTGCTCCACGTCAAAGAATAGAGTTGACCTTTGATGAACATTATTATATAGAACCATCATTTGAATGTCGGTTTGATCACTTGGAAGTTCGAGATGGGCCATTTGGTTTCTCTCCACTTATAGATCGTTACTGTGGTGTGAAAAGTCCCCCATTGATTAGATCAACAGGTAGATTCATGTGGATTAAGTTTAGTTCTGATGAAGAACTCGAAGGACTGGGATTTCGAGCAAAATATTCATTTATTCCAGGTAATGAAGTTTTTGTTTCAGTGGGTAGGTCTCATTCTGGTTTTAGATTCTTAAGGCTGGAAAAGAGATAATTCAGTTGCGTTAATCAAATCAAGACTTTAAAGGAATTAGCAAAGTCAAAGGGAAATCAGTTCATGAATAAATAAAACCTTAACAAAAATTGGAGCTAGAACTGTATTTCTTGCATTTTGAAGCATGTCATATATGGTATCACATTTCTTAGAGTTTTTTTAAGTTTTATACCATATATCAAGGCCAAAAACATCAAAATAAGTATATTAAAAAAAATAAATCAGGGAATGGATATAGCTCAGTGGTAGAGTGCATATTTAGCATGCATGAGGTCCTGGGTTCAATCCCTAGTACCTCCATTAAATAAATATATACATACAACAAATTGTGTTATTTTCATAATCTCTACCAAAAATCATTTTGGTAGGTTTATTTTTCCCTTGGAAGGATTGAACCATTCACTTGAATAAATGGCCTCTAGTAAATACTGAGCAATAGAAAGAATACCATTCTGCAGTTGGAGGCAAAAGATCTGGGTTTGAATCCTTTCTCTGCCACCTACTAGCTGTAAGATTGAATATTAAGCACAGAGTTGTGCCTGAGAGTTACTGTTGGTAAGATGGTAATGCCTTCCTGAGACTGCCATAACTTAATTACCACAAATGTAGCAGCTGAAGACAACAGAAATTTATTCTCTAAGAGGTCTGGAGGCCAGAGTCCAAAATCCAGCAGGGTCACGTTCCCTCTGGGCACTCTGGGGGAGAATCCATCCCGAGCCTCTCCCAGCTTCTGGTGGCTGCTGCCACGTTCCTGGGCTTTTGGCCTCATCACCCCAGTCTCTGCCTCCATCTTCACATCACCCTCTCTTCTCAAAGTCCAGGACACTCTACCTATCATACCATCCCCACGGTACATGAGAACACTTTGAGAACTGTAAAGCCCTGGCCACTGTGAAAGTATGCACATCCTAACGTGGAAACACAGAGGTATACATACAAGTTAATTTCTCCAGTCTTCAGAGAGCTTACAGACTAACAAGATGAAAAAGTAACTTCGTGTAACAATTATATAATCGTTTTCTTTTATTTATGTTTTCATACAAGAATTTTTTATAAAAAAATTAAAATATATCTCAATGAAAAGAAAATATCCATAATCTTACCACCCTGTATATAAAAAAGCAGTATTAACAATTTGGTGTGTATTCCTTCAGGTGTTTTTCTATATATTTTATTTATTTTGTTTGTTTTCTGTAACTGAGATCATGTTATTCATTCCACTGTATTACCTGCTTTTTTGCCTGAACAAAATAGACAACTTCTTTTCCTGTTAGTAAATGTGGAAATTTTTAAGTGTCACTTCAGTATTTATGTTCTCAGGGCCAAAATGATAAAATTTTAAAAAGTAAAATTTATCTAATAAATTTTATTTTTTAGAAGAGTCTTAGGTTCACAGCAAAACTGAGCAGAAAGTAGAGTTACCAAATGCCTCCTGCTCCCCGCCATACACAGCTACCTCTAAAATCCAAAATCAATATCCCACACCAGGGGTAGATTTGTTGCAACTGATGAGCCTACACTGACACAACATTATCACCTGAAGTCCATAGTTTACATTAGGGCTCACTCTTGGTGGTGTACTTCTTGTGTGTCTGGACAAATGTATAATGACATGTGTTCACCAGTACAGCAGCATGCAGAGTATTTGCACTGCTCTAAAATTCCTCTGTGTTCCACCTGTTCATCCGTCCCACCCCAACACTGGCAACCACAGATCCTTTTTACTGTCTCCATAGTTGTGCCTTTTCCAGAATGTCAAAGAGTTGGAGTCATACAGTATGTAGCCTTTTCAGACTGGCTTCTTGCACTTAATAATATGCATTTTAGTTTCCTCCATGTTTTTTCATGGCTTAATACCTTATTTCTTTTTAACACTAAATAATATTTCATCCTATGGATGCACCATAATTTGTTTATCCATTCTGTTGAAGGGTATCTTGGCTGCTTCAGAGTTTTAGCAACTACAGATAAACCTGCTGTAGACGTCCATATGCAGGTTTTTGTATGGACAAGTTTTTAACTCAATTTGGCTAAGTACCATGGAGTGCAATTGCTAGATCATATTAAAATTCATCTTTAATTTTTGCTTAGTAGATAGTGGTGATGGTTGCACAACATTGTGAATGTGCTTAATGCCACTGAATTGTACACTTAAACTGTATAAAGGGGTAAATATTATGTGTTTTACTACAATAAAAATAAATTTATAAAAAATAAATTTAAAAAAATACAAACAGGTGTCTAAAAAAACTTAATTTGAAAGTTCAGGTAGGAGTTATGTATATCAAACTGACATAAGTTAAAAATTGCTAGTCTGAAAGTTCTCAGAATCTCCAGTTAGCCTGAAAAACCTATTTTATGTGTTTATTATATGTAACTGATCGCTCAGTTCTTGTTAAAATTGTTTTAATGCCAGGTACTTTTAGCATGGTTATCGAAGTACATATTGAAAAAAAGTAGGGGGAAACTTTTTAGCTTAATTTAGAATACATTGCAGAAACTGATCTTTTTTAACTTAATAAACTAAACCCAACCTTGCTAAGTAGAAGGGGGCAACTACACTTTAGCAGTTTTGCAGAGAAATGTCAGAGAGAAATCTAAATCTTAAACAGCATTAGAGTGAAAAGGCATAGGAACTGTCTGGCAAATGAATCAAAATTTCTTCATATGTAGGCAAGAATTCTAAGATATTGTCATTATTGCACTAATATTTCCAAAATTATCCCAGTTACTTCCAGGAAGTAGCAATCCATTAAGAGCCTCTGCCTCAACAAATATCACCAGTAGCTTAGAGAATTTCTTATATTTAAAAAATACTAATTTCTCAGCATTGTTAGTAGGCTTCTTTCAGATTTGCAAATCCCTAAACAAAATTTTGTTTTATAAATATGACTTTAAGTAACTAGACATAGCCATAATTTAGCTAATTAGGCATTGCCTATTTGTTTTTGTTTTTTCTTTTAGTGGTAAAATTCTGGCATCTTTGCCCACATTATAAAGGCAACATGATAGAGGAAGAAAAATTGTCTGGAGAATTGGAATCAACTCCTGACTTTGCCATTGTATGATCTAAAAAAGTCATAATCTCTCTGATGTAATTTCCTCATCCATAAAATGGAATATTACATCATCTTCCTGATGTTATTATCGTTAGCATAATATTAAAGATAATGTATGTAGAATCTCTGAAGTACTAAAAAATGCAAATGTAAGGTAATATAGTCTAGAAATCCTAAGCATTTATTATAATTTGTCTATATTTTAGCCATAAGTCATAGAAAGTTGCTCTCATGATACATAAAACTAATAGAAGAAAAAGAGCTGTTTTCTTCTTTTATAATTAAAGTTAACTAATTCTGTTTTTTCATATTTTTAAAAACATTCAAATAATTAAGAACATTGTTTTTGATGTCCATTTTTTCTTTCTTTTCAATTTGCAAAAATCTGACTCATACTTAAGATTTTGTAATGTCTTTTTGATACTAAAATGTCAGTTACTTCAGTTAATTGATTTAGTTCATAAAAATCAAACACTTGGCCAATTTAATTAAATCAGTTATTTTGATATGAACTATTGGTTCTTAATCTTCTATGAACTGCTTCACAGGGCAGAATACCCTCTGTACCATCTAGTCATCTTTCTTTTTCCTGCCATTGTGGAAAAACAGCTCACTAGTTACTGTGTGTGCATGTGGTGTATTATACATAACATAAAAATCACCATTTTAACACTTTTAAGTGTATAAGTCAGTTTCATTAAGGGCATTTACAATGTTGTGTCACCACTATCCATTTGCAGAACTTTTTAGTCATCCCAAGCTGAAACTCTGTCCCCATGAAACAACACTTAACGCCCCATTCTCCACTCCCTATAGTCCCTGAATCTAGTCTCTATGAATTTGACTAATCAAGGCACCTCAATAAATGGAATCATGCAGCATTTATTCCTAAGTGTCTGGCTTATTTTACTTAACACAGCATTTCAAGGTTCATCCATGTTGTAGCATGTGTCAGAATTTCATTCCTTTTTATGGCTGAATAATATTCCATTACATTATATATACTACATTTTGTTCATTCAACCATAAATGGACTGGCTACTGCTATTGATGTAGGGTGGTGAGTTTTCAGGTAGCATAAATAAGTTACTAATTCATAATGAGATCAAAAGTATAAACAGTATCATTTTAAAAACATCAGTCCTATAAGGGAGCACCTGAATATGCTCATGAATTACCAGTGGTCTACAGTGTACACCAATGAAAGCTTTCTCTTGCTTTGCTATTAAATGTAGCATTAGACATAGTTAAGGCATTAAGCCTTAAAGTAACTAAAATATCTCCATGCCAATGACTTTCTTCTTTTCTCTGTTACAGATCCAGATTTTACTTACCTAGGAGGTATTTTAAATCCCATCCCAGGTTTAGTATATTACCTCTTTTTCCTCATGGCATCTTTGGATCAATCTTACATTCCTTTGAACATCATTCATCTGTTCTTTCTAGATTGCCAGTTCGAGCTGTCAGGAGCTGATGGAATAGTGCGTTCTAGTCAGGTAGAACAAGAAGAAAAAACGAAACCTGGTCAAGCAGTTGACTGCATATGGACGATTAAAGCTACCCCAAAAGCTAAGGTATTATTATGTATGGAGTCACTTCATAGAAGAATAAGATGTGATTTGTATAATGTATTATTTTGGTTCACGTTACTTACTGATTATTTAAGCTGACACTACAACTTTTCAAAAATTAATCTGAGTCACATTAGTAAGCATCTCCTAAGACCTCAGCATTGTTACAAAATATAAATTTCAAGAATATCCGACATGCGTTACATTAAGATTGTTATTTTAAGAATTTTACGATTTTTTAAATCTGCATATTCCTAACTGGAGAGTGCCAGTATTGATCAGTGTGATCACAGATTCATATAAAACTTGAGGAGGAGGTAAAATAGGCCGTAAGAGGTTAAAATGTCTTCTCAAAGGTCTCAGAGTTGGTCATAGCAGTGTCAGAGTCAGAACACGGATACGTTGAGTCTTAGTTCTGTGTTCTTACCATGCTGTCCTCTGCTAATCATGTAGAGTTTTTTATTGGAAAGTACCACAGGGAAGGATGTTTTTAAATAATTCTGACAGATTGAGACTGGTTGCTAACAACTTTTGCATTTTGCTTTTAATTTGTACTTCTAGGAATAGTAACAGTTAAAATTATATTTGTTGTGTGTGTGTGTGTATATATATATATATATATATATATATATATATATATATGTGTGTGTGTGTATATATATATATATATATATATATATATATATATATATGTAAAAAGAGAAAAGAGTAAGAGTAGAAGAAACCTTTAAAGAATTATAAAAACCAAATTGAGAGTTACTGGTAATATGATAGGTTAGATAACCTGAAAACTTGCCTATTACAAACACCTGGAAACATTGGATAAAATATGACAGGTATCCTTTTAAAAGCATAGATAAGCTCCAAAAAAAGAAGGTAATTCTTCTGAACTGGAAGTGAAAAGAGAGAACTATGAGCTGGGGCAATAAAATAAAGACAGAAATCGATGGTACAAATACTCCTTGCTGGTTTCAGTAACCTGTGACTCCTCAGGAGTAGATGTGCCGGGACCTTGGTATTAATACCTGCACTGAGACAGGAAAAGAAGGTCCAGGGTTCATGTTGCCTTTGTGAGATCCCTCACGTAAAGCTGGAACCCTGAAAAGGAGATGATTGCCATGAATTGGTAGATTAGAAAAAATCACCCACTAGCACAAATTAGTGACAGAGAAGCTTTTCTTCGTGGGCTCGGCCTCAGGATGGGAGCAAGGCTGAGCCGTCTCCTAACACTTTATACCTAGGAGCCTATCTTTATATTAGCGTTTTGGATGTGAATTTACATTCCATGCTCAACGAGGAACCACTTAGCCCAACAATCAACAAAATGATCCTGGGTTTATAAAACCTTCTGAGACACCTGGGAAAAATAAATGCAAAATAACCATGGAGGCTGTAGAATTGTCGTGGATAAAACACTGCTGAAGGTAACTCACAACCCAGCATTGTGAACAACCCATCACGAGTGAGTTAGCTGGTGTAACAGCAAGAAGCTTCTCAGATCCTCGAGAACTTAAGTGTGTTAAATATCCTACAAGAAGGAATCAAAAAGATGAGAAAGAAAAATGACCAAGTACACTTTAAATATAACCGAACAGAACTTCCTCAAGTAAAAAGTATAGTACTGAAAGATAGATTTGAGAAGAGTACCCAGAAAGTAGCTTGAGGGTGAGGGAAAGTTGCAGTTTATTAAGAAAATTTTCGAGAATTGACAAATTTGTCAAAAAGTGTTGACAATACATGTAGTGACTCCGAAAGCCAAGGGGAAAAAACTGTTTTAATTGACACTCAGTTACATGGGACACCACACAACAAAAATATCTTTAAAGCAACTGAAAAGAAAAGAGAGATTGCCTATGAAGAATAACATCAGAATCATCAATAGCAAAATAGAAGCCAGAAAACAGTAATGTCTTTGAAGTAATAAGCGAAAATATTAACTGGCAATCTAAAATTCAAAAATTCCATATCCAACTAAACCATCATTCAAGAATGAGGACAAAATTAAGGTATTTCTGGGCAAAAATAATAAATGGACTGAATACTGAAGTTAAAATCCAAATGTATCCTGTTTTAAGTTAACTACAGGACATTTTGAAAATATAAAAACAAAAGAAATACCAAACAGCAAAAAAGAGCTGACATAACTGTTAAAATAGACATCATGATGGTCACTAATTCACAAGGAAGATGCAGTTTTAAATTTTATGTATTAATGTAGCCTCAAAATGTACAAAACATGAATTGACAACTGCTGGGGGAATTGACAAATCCACAATTATAATATGTATTTTTTAACCTCTTGGTAATTAATCAAGCGTACAAAAAAATTAACAAAGCTTAGAAGATTTAAACAACACAGTATGCCTAATGGGACCTGGTATCTTTTCTTGTAACATCCAGAGAATGTACATTCTCTACAAGCATGCATGAAACATTTATAAAAACTGATCCATACGCTGGATGAAGAAAGAGTCTGATAGACATACCAGAGCTTGGTATCAAGCAGAGCATCCTCTGACAAAAATGCAATTAAATGGGAGCCAGCAACCAAAAGATAACTTTAAAACCCCAAACATTTGGAAATTTAATATACCATTTAGTAGTTCATAGGTCACAGACGAAATCAGGATGGAGATTTGAACACATTCAAAATGTAGCAATAATGAAAATACTACATATCGAAACTTGTAGGATGCCCCTAAAAGTACGTCAAGGGAATTTATGACCATAAATGCTTCCTTTAGAAGAAGAAAAGGATTTAAATTTAATGAGCTAAGATTCAACTGAAGTTTTAAAAGAATCCAAAGTAAAGGTAATAATAAAAGAACAGAAATAAATGAAATTAAAAATTTACAAGAAGAAAAAAAACAACAAAACCAAAAGCTGACCCTTTGTAAAAAATAAATAGGTAGATAGATAGGTAGATAGATAGCTAGCTAGCTAGCTAGCAGTAGGCATGCCTCTGGCAAGATTGATCTAGAAAAAAAGAAATAATATCAGAAGTGAAAAAGGTCATAAGTTAACTGCAGGTGAGATTTAAACTATTATAAGACAAACTATGAAGAACTCCTGAAGAAAAAGAAAAAAAATTGAATATTTCTTGAATAAATAAATTACAAAGGGAAGAAGAAAACCAGACTTTTTAGTGATGGCTATTCTGACAGGTGTGAGGTGTACCTCATTGTGGTTTTGATCTGCATTTCTCTGATGATTAATGATGTTCAGCATCTTATCATATGCCTGCTGGCTGTCTGTGTGTCTTCTTTGGAGAAACATCTGTTGAGTCTTCTGCCCATTTTTGGATTGGGTTTTTTGGGTTTTTGTTGTTGAATTGTATGAGCTGTTTACATATTTCAGAAACTAAGCCCTTGTCAGTTGCATCATTTGCAAATATTTTCTCCCAGTCAGTAGGTTGTGTTTTCATTTTGTTTATGCTTTCCTTTGCTTGCAAAAACTTGTAAGTTTGATTAAGTCCCCTTTGTTTACTTTTGCTTTTATTTTTATTGCCTTGGGAGACTGACCTAAGAAAACGTTGCTACAATTATGTCAGAGAATGTTTTGCCTGTGTTCTCTTCTAGGAGTTTTATAGTGCCAGGTCTTATGTTTAGGTCAAAAGGAGACACTTGGTAATTGACACTACAACAATTTACTGTTGATTTGAGATCTCTGTCTTACAATTGACAAAAAATGCATTCTTAAATGTTAGAACTAAAACTTAGAAGAAAATATAGGAATATATTTCTATAAATGATGGTTAGGAAACAGTTTAGTAAAAACAAAGAAGAGACAAAGTACAAGCCATAAAGATAAAATTCATCATTTACTACATTAAAATAAACTTGACTTCCAGAACCAGCCGAGATGGAGTAAGCCCACTACAGCTCATTTCTTTTAACTTATTATAGCTGGAAACTCTGGACAGAATTAAAAAAGCAACTACATGAGGATTCTGAAAAGTAACCATTAGAAGGTAGGTTTGGAGGGAAGTCAGAACTTGAATAATGACTCCGAGAGGGTCACAGGGGTTTTTTTTCCTTCTCTTTTATCTCTTGGACTATTTTATGGAACTGATAACAGGAACTCAGAGAAAGCACTCTAGCCAGAAGGCGGGGAAAGGGGCCATTACAAACTCGAAGAGGGAATCCCTGGGTGGTTTGTTTTCCCCTCTTACCAGCTCCGCCCATGGTGAGCATCAGTCGCAACAGCTACAGCAACTAAAACCCTCAGAGAAACCTCATCTCCTTAACCAGTGCAGCTTGGAAAAGGATGTGGTGATGTCTGGAGAGTATGGAGGGAACCCCCATTTTTTTTTCTCTGTACTGTTAGTTACTCAGAACCCACAACAGGTTAGGTTGCCTGATAAAACAAACAAAATTCAACATTTTCCATGAATTTTTAACAGGGTCCAGCATGTCAGTGTTATATTCAAAATGTTCAAGATATAGTTTAAAAATTACTCGTATATAGAGAAACAGGGAAGCAAGTTATAATTCTGAAAGGAGAATGCAGTCAACAGATCCTGGTCCTAATAGGACTCAGATGTTGGAATTATCAAAGATTTTAAAGCAACAGTATAACCATGTTCCATGAGGTAAAGGTAAACACTCTGAAAATGAGTGGAAAGATAGATCTTAGCCAAATAATAGAAACTATAAAAAAAAGAACCAAGTGAAAATTTTAGAACTAAAAATGAAAAGTGTATCTTAAACTTAAAACAAAACAAGACAAAAACTTCACTGTGTGGCCTAATAGGACAATGGAGATCGTAAAGTCTTATCAACTTGATACCAGTAGAAACTATCTAACTTGAAGTAATGAGAAAAAAGAAAACAAATTATAGTAGAGCCTCAGGGACCTGCGGGACAATTTCAAAAGACCTAAAATTCATATCAGTTAAATTCCAGATGGAGAAGAGGAAGAGATTGTTACAGAAAAAATACTCAAAGAAATAATTGCCTAAAAATGCCCCAAATTTGGTGAAAGACATAAATTTACAGATTCAA